ACTGGGCAGTTTATCTGTTTCATGTGGCATCAGCTGGAGTGGCCTGATGGGCTGCAAGGTCCATTTCTAAGAGGATCATTCACGTGGTTGGCTGCTGGCGGGGAGCTCAGCAGGGGCTGTTGACCAGTGGCCTTTCTATCTCGGTGTTCTGAGGGTAGTCAGACTTCTTATATGGCAGCTCAGGGGGTCCCAGAGACAGTGTCAAGACCCAGAGAAGGAAGGCTTCCCTCAAGATGTGGGCTTAAAATGGGCCGGTTATCACTTGTACTATATTCTAGTGGTCAGAGCAGTCACGGAGACCACCTGGGTTCTAGAGCAGTGAACATAGACCCCACCTCTCTGTGCAAGGAGTATCACAGATCTGGGGTGACCATTCCTCTTACAGAAGTAAAAATGGCTAATTGCTAACATAGGCCTCAGATATTGTATACATCTTGGCCTCTGAAGGGTAGAGAGTAGGCATGGAGAGGACACAGCCAAGATCCTGCTTTTGCTTTGAGGCTTGCTACTGGTGTTCAAGTAAAATGGTGCGCATTCAGCAAACACTTGATAAATCTTATTGCTAATTGTTGTAACTGCCACATTCCCTTAAGTATAGTACTACTGAGGACAAATTCAGTCAGTAGGTCAGAAAATAGCTGTTAAACATTTACTGTGTACCAGACATTCTCCTAGGTACTAGGAGCACAATGGCCAAGAAAATACCCAGTCATGGTCCTTGCCCTCATAGAGGGTATGATCTAGTTCAGAAGACAGATATTTATCAAATGATTTCATAAATAAGTATAAAATTTCATCTGATAGAAGTGCCATAAAAACAGATGTATGGTCCAAGATCAAGGAAGACCTAAAGAAGGGATGATTGAACTAGAATCTGAAAAACGGGGGAAGAAGGAGAGAACTAAGCAGCAGGCTGCAGAAAGGAACTTCTGCAAAGTCCCTGGGCAGAGAAGAACTTGGTGAGAATCATAGCCAAAAGAAGACCAGTGTACTGGAAATGAGTGAGCCAGAGAGAATGCAGTGCAAGCTGAGGCTGAAGAGGAGGAAGTGGACAGAGAATACAGGGCCTTGGAAATCATCAGGTTTGATCCCCTCGGTTGTATGTGGACACTTTGCCCAGCCTTACCGTAGTCCATCCATTCATTCAGAGACTGAGCTGTTCATCCATCTACCCATCTGTCTGTGCCATACACTCACTAAGTCATCAAACCCTGAATGATCATCTTCCGTCTGCTAGAGATAAATAAGACCACCTAATCCCCCTAATCTGCACCTTTACAGAGCTCATTGCCACTCCCACTAGGTGTTAGTCTTTACTATATTCACCAAGCAGTAAGATTCCAAAGATCTCTCTAGTTTTAACATGCAAAGATAATATCCCATGAACTTTACCCTTAATCCAGCCCCACTCTCCAGTAATGCTTATTTGAAAATGCATCTTTCGGTCATAAAGAGTACTTGGTGCTAGAATGGAAATGAGCCAACACAACTGCTATCATAAAACTCTATTATCTTCGCCAAGCAATGAGATCTCTAAAGACCTCTGTAGCTTTAACATCCAAGATAATTTGGAATTGAATTGAATTAAGTTGATTAGAGTTATAGAAAAAAAATTGGCAGATAGGAGGCAGGACTAACTTTTAGTTCCCACTTGGATGCACAGAACAGCATATAGAGACTCACATCATGAACCTTTGCTCTGAGAACTACTACAGGAACATATAAAGAAAACTGAAAAAATTCACAGATCCTTTGAAAGAAGCAGCTTGCTGCTGCAAACTCCATGAGATAGCCAAAAAACTGTAAGTGCCCCAAGTGTGAGAAGAGGAAAGTCTGCCTCCTAACATACATCCTCACTGGGGAACCTGAAAATCCAGATCACAGGAGGAGGATTTAACCTTTCCTAGAGCTGAAATGAATTTAGAGAGCTGAGAGAGATATATAAGTAGAAGCAGCAGTGGGAAGAGCCCTGTAGGCACTCCCAGTCTCCAGAGAAGCCATTTCTGACTTTTTCTCACAGGGGTCCTTGGCAGGGGTGTTAGGGAAGGACCACAAGGAGAAGGAAACTTCCAACTGAATTTTGTAATAATTTCAACCAAGTGTAAATTGTCCAGGCCCGAATAGAGGGGCGGGGGGGATGGCAAACAGGAAGCGCACAGAAACTACAGGGGAGCAGTGGTGGGGCCTGAAAGCTCTGCTTGCTTTCTCCTTGGGGAGGCTTGTAGCCTGGGGCAAGACCTCATCCTTGATTACCAGCTGCCTAAGCAGTACTGTTGGTGTGGCACAGTGGGAGTGAGACTGGCCTTGCTGACTACACGGGAGCTGGGTGAGGCCCCCATTGCCAGCTTTATTCACTTCCCTGGCAACCTGTATGATGCAGCAGAGGCAGCCATAATCCCTGGGAACCTAACTCCATTGGCCTGAGAACCACACCCCATCCCCAACGGCAGCCACAGAAAGCCCCACCCAAGGAGAGTCTGAGCTCAAACATGGGACAGCCCTGCCCCCACCTGACAGTCTTTCTCTACACGCTATGGTAGCCATAAGCAAAAGACATAATCTCTTGGGAGCTCTATGGCCTACCCATCACCTGAGAAACCTGAATATTTATCCAGGAGACGTTAGGGCAAGTTTGTATCCCTGCTCTACTACCACAGCTGATGCTTTCTTGAAAGTGCCACCACCTGGCTGGAGGCCAACCAGCTCAAGCCATTACAGCAACTCATAAAAGAATAATAATGCTGCTCCAAGAAAGGAGAAAACAACAGCTAATTCTACCACCTGTAACATCGTGACTAACCAGAGGTCCCAAGTCTAGCTACATGACAACTTCACTGCTACCATAACCAGCATTTGAGAAGACCAACACACTAAAAACTATAACCAAGGACCCTGACGGAGTCTGTTTCACTTCCCTGCTACCTCCACTGGAGCAGGTACTGGTATCCATGGCTGAGAGGCCTGAAGCTGGATCACATCACAGGACTCTTTGTAGACACTCCCAAGTATGAGCAATACGAGACTGAAGCCCTGGTAGCTCCGTTGGGTAGCTAGACCCAGAGGAGCAATAACAGTCCTTGCAGTCCAGCTCTCAGGAAGCCCCATCCCTAGTAGAAGGAGGAGAGCACCACACAAGAGAACACTGCATGGGACAAAAGAATCTGAACAGTAGCCCTTGAGCCCCAGATCTTTCCTCTGACATACTCTACCCAAATGAGAAGGAACCAGAAAAACAATTCTGGCAATATGACAAAGCAAGGTTCTTTAATACCCCCCAAAAGATCATAGCAACTCACCAGCAATCAATCCAAACCAAGAAGAAATCTCCGAATTGCCAGAAAAAGAATTCAGAAGGTTGATTATTAAGCAACTTAAGGAGGCACCAGAGAAAGGTGAAAATCAACTTAAAGAAATTTTTTAAAAAATACTGGATATGAACACAACTAACTCCAGAAAAATGGATAGCATCAATTTAAAAAAATCAGAACTTCTAGAAGTGAAAGACAGAGAACTACAAAATACACTGGAAAGTTTCAACAATAGAATCAAACAAGTAGAAGAAATAAGAGCTCAAACACAAGGTGTGAAAATTAACAATAGCAATGCCATTTTTCTACCTTGGTGACAGTGTTCCCAGATACAAAACAAATGTCAACTTCACCTGTACCTTAAACAGAGTATAACAACTCTGACCACAATAAAGCCTGACTGATGTTGTGGATGCACAGGAGAATTGTTCTGCTAATCAGTTCAATTGAATTCAATCTCAGCTTGTCTCAGCTCAAGTTAGCTTTGTTCAGCTTATCTGGATTCTGCTCCACTCAACTGTACTCAGCTGAATTCATCCATGCATCTAGGCTTCTAACAAGCATTTCTTAAGTACTTACCTGTCAAAGTCTGCATTGAGTCTGGGAATCCAGCTGGGGTTGCTTCCACCAACCAATCCACCTTCCTGTTCTAATCTAAATGGTATCTGTGTATTGTGGAGAGAACACTGAACCTATAGCAGGACTGCCCTATATTCTCAACTTAGCCCCACCATTTACTTACTGCCTTGGGCAATTTTCTTAACCCCAGGAATAAAAGTAATACCGAATTTGTGGAGAATTTGTCAGAATTATATTCATAGAAGGCCCCCCTAAATGGTATCCTTTAAATTCCCCCTCTCTGGACCTAAAGGAAAGACTAAGCAGAAAAAAGAAAATGACCCAAAGCTCATCTGAACACCTGAAGAACGGGACAATTCACTAGAAAGATGTTTGCTAGTGAACTAGGGTGTGGTCCCACCCACCACCACAGTGCTCTCCCCAGTCTTGTCTCTGCTCTAGATTCTCCACGTTCTTAAAGGTCTCTTTCGACAACTGCACTGGAAATCGCCTTGATATTCACCCAAGTTACTTTTTTGCATCTGGGCTCAACCTGACTCTTGATTTCTTGTGCTCAGAATCGGTACCTGTGCATCTGAGTTCATCTTTAGCATTTCATTGGTGCTGTGTCGGTCCGTCATCAGCCCATTCCCTTGCAAAAAGGGAGAAGGAATGGAGAACAGAGGGAACAGAAAGAGTGGTGCCAACCTATGCAGCCCAACAGTCTGGCAGAAGACTGGCAGAGGCACAATGAAGGACATCCTGTAGACTGATAGCAGAGGAATAGGAGACAACTTTTTTTAAATGAGCAGCAAGACCTCCAAGAAAGTGAAGCCATGTCAGTGTGGGTTCCCCCAAGCTCAGATGTATGCTCTTGCCTCCACAGCATAGACCACCATGTCATTAAACATCATACACCATCAATGCCAACTCTGATCCGAAAATAGGTGGGCATCTGAGCCACAGGATACCCAGTGTTCTGTATTCTTGGGTCCTTAAACTTAGGAAGGCGTTGCCTTGATCGCTCATTGTTTCCCACTTGTTGCTAGAATCTGAACCAGATCTCTCATCTAAAAGAATGCCTTCAATTCAGATGCTGCAGGCTTATCTCACACAAATGTCCTCTTCCCTTAGGTATTCCATGGTCTCAGATGCAGAAACAGAAAGCATTTTCATGGAACCCATTCACCTCTCCTCAGCCATTGCAGCCAAACAGATCATCAATGAAGGTAATGCAATGAAAAGTTGGGTAGAATCACCCAACTGGATGATCCTGGGGTGGGGGGCATTGGAAGATGTCAGTGTGCCTCTCAGATGCTGCCTGTCACATTAGGAAGAGCAGATCTTCAGAAGGCAGTTCTGCCAACCCACCTCCTCAACTCTGATAGGACAGAAGTGGAAATAATTATGCATCAGTGTGAACAGGGACAGCCAGGGAGGCAGCACCAGTCTGTCTCTAGGGCCTCTTGCTCAGTTTTTGATTACTTCAGGGATCCTGAGGTGGCTTATGTCAGAGGTGCAGACCTGAGAGCCCAGGAAATGGCCAGGAGCATACAGAGGGTTCTCATCCAAGGGAGTCCAGACTTAGACCTTCACATCTACCAGTGCTTAAAGATGCTTCAAACTGAAGGATGCATGGGAGGGAGGGAAAGGGTTGAGTGGGGAGCGATGTTAATATTTACACAGTAAAATTTTGAAGCAGGCAACATATTATTACATTTCATTCAGGGACACTTGCCTGGATTAGATGGATTTTTTTTCCAGTCAATTTTAGGTAAACAATCTTTTGCAATTTCTTTCTTCCCCTTTCTTCTCCCTTCTCCCTGGGAAGCCTCACAACTCTGGTGAGATAGGGTGGAGTGGGACAGGTGCGCACTGATTAAATAGGGCTCAGCTGGCCTTTGGGCTTAATCTGGCACCCATTGCTGGTGGCCACAAGCCTTTCCTTGGTCTTTCATTATGAGAATCACATGCTACTCTTTGTCCACCCTAACTCTGGTCCTTTCTTGGTCCCCTGATCCGTTTAGGTCTCCACCAGGGTCTCTAGAGGACGTCTGGACCTCTTGAACACTTCACATAGAACCAGAAATTTGACTTGCTGTTGCTGACTGTTCTGGGCACTCTAGGAGGCCCCATCTTCTCAAAGACCCATCTGCTTTGGGGGATTTTTTTCTTTTTCTTCCATACGTGGGATCTCTGTTATCTTGCTCCAAAATATCTTGCCCCCAGATACCTTGCCCCCGAACACAGGCAGTGTCTTCACCTTGGTCCAGTTCTCTCTGAATTGCTTCCAGCACCACCCTCGCTCTGAAAAGTCTTTTCTTCCTCTTTTCTGGTTGGAAATTTCCCTAACCATCCATTCGGCATCATCTCTGCTTTGTGCTAATTCTACAGGCCATTCTCCAGGCTTTGGTTCTTGCTAAGTAGAAGTACAGCTTTAGGAATTGTGGGGAGGAAAAAAAAAAAACATTTTCTCTCTTTGAAAGCTTAACTTTCAAGTCTATAAAATGCTATGGACATTCAAAGTCTAGTTTGAAACCAAAAGATGTGCAATGCCTTTTTTTTTTTTTTTTTAAACCTGGGTCTTTTCTATTCTTCTCTTCTCTGGGGGCATCAAACCTAAGTTTCATTAGCCTTAGTGGCTGAAGGGCTGTAGGGGAAGAAAAAACAATATATTAGAGAGAAAGGAAAATGTATCAGGTGATATTTCAAAACATCGCTGTGCTCACTAGTGATCAGAGGAGTAAAAATGTGTGTTGAAGAACCTTCCATTTTCATGAAAGTCAGCACATGCCACACATCCGAGAGTGTAGAGGAGAAATGTGTGGGCTTTACTTTCTGCTGAAGAAATGTCAGGTAATAGAAATTGATGCAGGGATAGAGGCAAACTCTGCAGATGCTGAAGTGTGAGCCAGAGACCCAGGGAAAGCAGGAGTTGCCATGGGGGTGAGGAGCGGGGACATTTGTATTTAAACTGAAAAGAAGTTGAAACAACAAGCTGCTAGATAAATAGCTGAAGAAGACAACTCTGTATTTTAATGAGGTGTCAGGAGTCCCATTTTTTATATGTAGTAAGGGAAAAACATCTAAGTAGACAAGGGAAGGAGAGGGGCTGTATTTGCTATGAAAGACCCCAGGAGAGCCAGGGGAGAAAACTGGGTGGTGGAGAAAATAGGAACACTTCATCTATTTTTAAACAAAATAGAGCTCTGGGATTGTAGAAGTTTTCTTCTTTCTGCTTTTGAAATGGAGATCAGAGAACTTTTAGAACTGAACCCTGGCCGGCATGGTGGCTCATTCCTGTAATCTCAGCACTTTGGGAGGCTGAGGCGGGTGGATCACCTGAGGTCAGGAGTTCAAGACCAACCTGGCCAATATGGTGAAACCCTGTCTTTAAAAAAAATAAAAATAAAAATAGAACTGAGCCCTGATGCAGGGACATGGGGCCCCTCAGGGTGGTTAGAGGAGGGAAGAGAGAAGGGAAATGAAATCCTGAGCCCCGGGCAGAACCCAAGCTCCCAGGATTTGCAGTCCATGAGCAAGAAGCCCTGCTTACAGACCCCTGGAGGAGCAGATTCCATGAGGGGCTGGGCCAAATCTAACTTCCAAATGTGGCTAGACTCTCTCTGCAGCAGCCCCCACCCAAAAACTGCCCATCAGGGAAAAAGATGGTGCCAGCAAGAGGCTATGAGAAACACAGAAGACAAATATGTCCAGCTTTTTTCTCTCTTTGTATTCAGTAGTTCTGGCTACTACATGAGAGGAACGATTTTGTTATTTCTTACTTTTGTCTATCTTAAAGAAAGAAAACATCTTACATTTTCCCAAATTTGATAAACTGTGAGCAAATATATTATTAGAAGAAGACAAAGATTCACCCCAGATGTGGATGAGTTGGGATTTGAGTTCATTTGGAGTTTAAGTCCTGTTTTGAGACTAGAATGAGAGCTCATGGCCGACCTTTGCCACCTATCTGTGGGTTGGGAGGCTGAGAATCATAGGTGCTTCCACTCTAGTAGGGGGGAAGAAGAAAATACAAGAAATAAATAAGTAAATTAGATGTATATTAGAAGGTAATATTGCATGAATTACTGCTGAAAATTTTACCTTTCCCAGGGTTATTTGCAATCCATATGTTAAAGAGTTAAACTAACAAAGAGAATTTTACTATGAATGAACACCATTCACTCATTTAGTAAATACTACTACCATTTTTTTTTTTTTTTTTTTTTTTGAGACAGAGTTTCGCTCTTTTTGTCCAGGCTGGACACACAATGGTGCACTCTCGGCTCACTGTGACCTCCACCTCCCAAGTTCAAGTGATTCTCCTGTCTCAGCCTCCCAAGTAACTGGGATTACAGGCGTGTGCCACCACACTAGGCTAATTTTGTATTTTTTTTTATAGAGATAGTTTCACTATGTTGGCCAGGCTGATCTCAAACTCCTGACCTCACGTGACCCACCTGCCTTGGCCTCCCAAAGTGCTGGGATTATGGGCATGAGCCACCACACCCAGCCAGTAAATACTTCTGAACATCCACTTTGTACTGGGCACCGTAGGAGTTACTAAGTATGGATCAAAATACACCTCGTACTTAAGGAACTCGGTCTAAAAAATTATCAGCCAGCTTGAGAGAAGCACGGGAGATAGTAAAAGAAATTGGGTTCCCTTCACCCACACCTATACACTCCTCCCGCTGACCCTGATTACAAGCATCCAGGCCAGTGCAGCAAGTGCCCTGGGCCCAATTAAAGTCCTTCCTGGGAGATCCTGCTGGCATTCAGTCCATGCCCAGAATCCTGGCAGCAAACAGGCCAAGAGCATGTTCTCCCCAGGAACAAGGAAGGCCATGGTGTTCCTAACTGTCTCATGAGATTGCCTCCTGTCTGCTCTAGAGCTCAAGCCACGGGGGGTCAGAGCAGGCGCCGAGTGTCCAGGCATGCTGGAGTCTGCTGAACAGCTGCTGGTGGAGGACCTGTACAACCGTGTCAGGGAGAAGATGGATGACACCAGCCTCTATAACACGCCCTGCGTCCTGGACCTCCAGCGGACACTAGTTCAGGATCGCCAAGAGGCTCCCTGGAACGAGGTGGACGAGGTCTGGCCCAACGTCTTCATAGCTGAGAAGTGAGTCTGACTGTTCTTCATGACCCTTTGTCCTACCTTTCTGGTTAGTGCCTGAGACAGACGAACCTGCCCCAACTTTCACCAAAGGCATCCATAGGCCCTTGCAGCCCAATGAGGCTGCCTAGCCACTTACCCTGCCCCGGCCCAGAGAAAGACCCCTCCATCCACCTGCATTCAGAGGTCTCCAGGCAAAACGCTGGCATCACTGCTTATCCTTTACCCTCTTGCCAGGACTCTCTTGTCCCTCAAGAAGGCCTTCTCTGGGCCTCCTTTTTTTTTTTACCATCTCCTGACGTCTGTAACAACCACAGAACTGGACACTAGCAGCCACTGACAATATTGACATGCATGTGTATTTACCAACACAGGAAAATGTTCACGATACAGTAAGAAAGAATTTAGATTACAAAAGAATACATGTCGAGTGTGCTGCTAATCAGGCAATAGATGTATGTGTATGTGTGTGCATGCTTTTGCATAGACAACAGCCAGAAGGAAATGTGATAAAATGTTAACAACGATTCTCTCTGGGAGGTGTTTTTACAAGCGTCTTTTATTTTCTTCTTTAGATTCCTCTTGACTTGGACAGGTTTCCTAAAGTAGACATTGTTTTTATAATCCAAAAACGATTATTTTCTAAAAGTTTATCAGTGGTTTCTGGAACAAAAGCGACTCACTCACATCCTATTCCTTTAGGATGCCAGCGCGTTAATTGCTACCACTAGGTTAATTAGTGAAACGAATTTCTGCTGATTCATCGAATACTTAATGAGATCTTTTCCCAATGTAATTATCCAGATATCCAAAAGCAAAGGAGGAAATCTGGGGCCTCAGGGGAGGGGATAGGGAAAACAGCTTGGAACAGTGGGTCTTATCTTCATCAAGGAGTAATCGGTTGCCTAGAACTTGATCCTCAGAGCTGGGCACCAAGTCCTAAGTGATCTTCAAATAGATCTTCAGATCCAGGAGCACTCACCTCGTGGCCACTAAGGACCCAGGCATCCAGGTATTCTCAGCCCAAGGCTTCCGTTCTTTGTCGAACAACGCTGCCCTCAGGGCCTCTTCAAACTAAGCTGCACTTACGCAGCTACAGCAAAAAGAGCTCTGAATGAGAAATCTAAAACACTAGCTCTTGTTTTCTTTTTCTCCTTTCACAATTTTGGGAAGTTATGAGTTCTCAGATTGACTTTTATAATCTTCTTCTTCTTCTTTTTTTTTTTTTTTTTTTTTTTTTTGAGACAGAGTCTCGCTCTGTTGTCCAGGCTGGAGTGCAGTGGCTCTATCTCGGCTTACTGCAATCTCCGCCTCCTGGGTTCAAGAGATTCTCCTGCCTCAGCCTCCTGAGTAGCTGGGACTACAGGCTTGTGCCACCATGCCCAGCTATTTTTTGTATTTTTAGTAGAGATGGGGTTTCAACATGTTGGCCAGGATGGTCTCAATCTCCTGACCTCGTGATCCACCCACCTCCGCCCCCCAAAGTGCTGGGATTACAGGTGTGGGCCACCGCACTTGGCAATTTTTATAATCTCCAAATGGGAATCAAACTAGTTTCCCTGCTTACTTCTTAAGTTTATTTTTAGGATAATGTAAAATAATGCATGTGAAAGGATTTTGAAAATTATAAGCATGCCATATCAATGTAAAATACACTTAATTTGGCCGGGTGTAGTGGCTCACCCCTGTAATCCCAGCACTTTGGGAGGCCTAGGCAGGCGGATCATGAGGTCAAGAGATCAAGACCATCCTGGCCAACATGGTGAAACCCCGTCTCTACTAAAAAAATACAAAAATTAGCTGGGCATGGTGGCACATGCCTGTAGTCCCAGCTACTAGGGAGGCTGAGGCAGGAGAATTGCTTGAACCCAGGAAGTGGAGGTTGCAGTGAGCCGAGGTCACACCACTGCACTCCAGCCTGGCGCCTGGTGACAGAGTGAGACTCTGTCTCAAAAAAAAAAAAAAAAAAAAAAAAAAATACACTTAATTTTCTTATTTGCGCCTGCCACTTTTGTGCCTTGATGAACGTCCATTCCCAAGGCATGGGGTTTTAAACTAGAAGTCTCTGGACCAGTCAAAGCTTTCCTTACATATCACTTTTGCTGGCCTCTTCATCTTGCCCTCCCTTGCTTAACTCCCTGTCTCTTCTCTCTCTTGCTGAGGCCAAGTCATCAACTCTTTCTATAACGTTATTTGCAGTGATCCCTAGACACCAGGGGGCGGAAAAGGAGGGACTTGCCCAGCTGAGACCCCAGACCAGCTGAGGCAGGCTCGCCATCACAGTGGTGATGCATCTTTCTAGTTCCGACTCTGGCAAACAGGTCCCTGCCTCTTCCCCCAGGAGTGTGGCTGTGAACAAGGGGAGGCTGAAGAGGCTGGGAATCACCCACATTCTCAATGCTGCGCATGGCACCGGCGTTTACACTGGCCCCGAATTCTACACTGGCCTGGAGATCCAGTACTTGGGTGTGGAGGTGGATGACTTTCCTGAGGTGGACATTTCCCAGCATTTCCGGAAGGCGGCTGAGTTCCTCGATGAGGCGCTGCTGACCTATAGAGGTGAGAGGGGTCTGTCCACTCCAGGCTACTGGACTTCCATGAGGGGAAAAGCAATGTGGGGAATGTTATGAAAACCTGATTAGTTGGCGTGTCTAGTGGGTATCTGTCTTAAGAAGGCTGTTTTCTCTAAGAAAGGGAGGAAAGAAAGGATGATCATTCACCCGGTAAGTAATTACTGAGTGCCTAGCTTGGGCCAGGTACCATTCTAGGCACTGTGGTAAAAGATGCAACGCTTCCAGCCTTTGACTCTTACACTATAGTGAGGGGAGAGAAAATGAAAAAAAAGAGAGAAAAATGTCAGATGGTGTTAAGTGTGAGGCAGAGACTAACTAGGATGGTGTGCTAGAGTGACTGGCCAACTCCTTGGAGAGCATGATGGTGAAGGCCTTCTGACAACGGGACATTTAAGCCAAGTGACAAAGAGCTAGCATGGGAAAACTGGAAGAAGAGCATTCCTGTGGACGAGAACTAGTAGTGCGAAGATCTGAACGTGGGAAGCTTGGTGTGTTCAAGCGTCAAAGGCCCGTGTGGATGAAGGCTGGAGAGGCAAGGCACCCTCCCCCCATCAAACAGGAAGCTAAATGCCAGGGTAAGAAGTTTGAGCGGCACCTTGATCTGATTTATGTTTTGGAAAACTCCCTCCCTCTGCCTTGGAGAACAGACCAAGTTGGGATGGTAGAGAGTAGCGCTTCGGGGCTGCTATTGTTATATCCAAGTGGAAGGTGCCAGGAGACTCATCTACAGAGGTCATAGGCCTCAAGGAGGAGAGGCGGAGCCCAGGCAATGGAGCCAGCAGCCTGGCTGGGAAGACTCCAGGATTTGGTGTCCAGAAACCTGGGTCTGTGTCTGGGATTTGCTGCACTGTATATACCAAGGGACCTTGGGCCATTTCCTTTAGCTCTAGGAACCGCAGTTTCCTTATAGAGAACAAAGACAAAATTACCAAATCCTAAAGTTGCTGTGAGGAATAGCATTTTTTAAATGCACAAAAATAACTCCTTTGGGACTACACCTGGCACAATAAATGCTTCAAAAATTACAGCCATTGCTATAATAATATTGCTCATGATTACTGGAAAAAGGGCATTGCCTGTCACCACCAATGGCCAGGATGAGTAACCTCTAATGGAAATTACAAACACACATATTTTCCTTTTTTATTATTTATTATTTTTATTTTTAGAGACAGGATGCAGCTCTGTCCCCCAGGCTGCTGGAATGCTCACTATAGCTTTGACCTCCTGGGCTCAAGAGATTCTCCCATCTTGGCCCCGCGAAGTGCTGGGATTACAGGCGTGAGCCACCATGCCTAGCCAAATACACATATTTTAAATATGTATGTGTATGTGTGTGTAAATTATATATATAGGTATGTATGTGTATATATACACACACACACACACACATATATGTAAACTGTTTTCTCCTCTTTTCAATGCTTAAAAACGGCTTCTTTTTTTTTTTTTTTTTTTTTTTTTTCTTTTTTTTGAGACGGAGTTTCGCTCTTGTTACCCAGGCTGGAGTGCAATGGCGCGATCTCGGCTCACTGCAACCTCCGCCTCCTGGGTTCAGGCAATTCTCCTGCCTCAGCCTCCTGAGTAGCTGGGATTACAGGCACGCACCACCATGCCCAGCTAATTTTTTGTGTTTTTAGTAGAGACGGGATTTCACCATGTTGACCGGGATGGTCGCGATCTCTCGACCTCGTGATCCACCCGCCTCGGCCTCCCGAAGTGCTGGGATTACAGGCTTGAGCCACCGCGCCCGGCAAAAACGCCTTCTTTTTAAAGTGTAGGACGTTTGACCAGTGTGGGATTGAGTGGGTCTGTCGGTCGTCTGCGGCATAGGGAGCGTGTCCCACCTCGCTCGCTGGGCCTGGGCACACCTACCGACCTCGAGGCAGACCGGATGGCGCTCGGTAGCTCACGCAGGTTGACACGGCCACGGGCCGGCAGTGCCCCGCAGCATCCCAGTGCGGATGAGACAGATCTCAGAATGTGGAACGCATACCAGAAGCGAGAGCCAGCCTTGCGGGCGGAGGGAGGAAGAATGCGCCCAAACGCGGAGGCGGAGGCGGTGCCAGGAGCCTCACGGGCTCAGCAGGAAGTTTCCTGCCGCGGCTGTAACCCAGGCGCGGCCTTCCCTGCATCATACCCACTACCCAGGAGCACTGACCCGGAGCCAGGGCGTCAGCTCCGCGGGCTGGAGACCGCAGGTCGGAGCGCTGGGTGTCCAGATTCCTTGCAGGCACCGGTACGCGCTGCGGGTATCTCCTCCCGATTCAGTCTCACTCTCCCTGCCAGGCAGCTAAAGGCCCTTTTTGTTGCTGTGCTTGTTGCTTTTGTGGGTCATTCCTACTCCACCGCAGAGAGGTCATAGCATCTCTGGAATTACCCCGCTGTAGCCTTGGGTCCTGTGGCTTCCTCTATTCTAGGTTGCTTGGGAGTCAGTGCCTGACTAGAACAGCGAAAGAAACACCAGGCGCTGGCGTTTTACATGGTAATCACAAAGAGCCCACGAGGGGGTGTTGTTATTTACATTGCACACACTGGGAAGTTGAGACCCATGGAAGATTAAGTGGCGACTTGGCACGGCGCACGGTGTAATAATCAAGATTCTCTTGGTTGCTAGTGGGTGGAAACCATCTGAAACACCTTCACAAGCAGCAAAGGCATTAGTTCTGAAGTTGCAGGAAAGAAGCCACAGACAAGAGCCTGGCACCCCAGGCAGGCCTGGGACAAGAACTAGACAGTCTAAGGACTCTTGGTTTCCCTCTTCTTTCTCTACTTCAGAGAGCAAGTGGCCATCCACAGGTCTGACTAGCTAATTTAAACTAGCTAATTTCCTGTCTCAGTTTCATTTTCAAATTTCTTGGAGAATTTGTCAGATACTGGTCCTTTTGGTACCCTGAGTTCCATCAACAGTGGCAAGCTGGGGTACCTTCTGGGCAAATACTACTTATTTTCTGTGATGTGGAGAGGGGTAGGTTCTGAGGAAAGGGAGGATTATGAATTGGGAGAGTATAGCACAATTGCCTCCCATATAAAGGCATACTGAGAGTGTAGAGAATTCAAACCTTGTCTTGCTCAAGTCTGATGCTCTTCCCAGTAGCTGTACTCTTAAAAAAAAAATTTTTTTTTTTTGAGACAGAATCTCGCTCTGTCACCCAGGATGGAGTGCAGTGGTGCTATCTTGGATCACTGCAACCTCTGCCTCCCAGGTTCAAGCAATTCTTGTGCCTCAGCCTCCTGAGTAGCTGCAATTGCATGCACGTGCCACCACTGCCCAGCTAATTTTTGTATTTTTAGTAGAGATGGGGTTTCACCATGTTGGCCAAGCTAGTCTCAAACTCCTGACCTCAGGTGATCCACCTGCCTTGGCCTCCCAGGGTGCTGTGAATACAGGCATGAGCCACCACACCCGGCCTGTACTTTTCAAATTTTGAAAACAGGGACCCTCTTCACATTCAGCCCTGTTGGTAATCAAAATGGTAAATCTGCAAATTAGAAAATCATTACCTTCCTTCGAACCATTTTGCTGTGGGAAAATTTTCATCATAACCCAAGTATGTTTTGATACTTTGATTTCGATGAAAAGAGGCCCTCTAGAATTGTGCAGAGAAAAATCTATACAGCATCAGCCTGCCTCTAACAGAGAAGACAGAGAATCCTGTTGCTGCTCTGGGTGAAGATCCCTGAGTCTCATCCCCCACTCATCCTCCCTCTTGTCCCTCTGGCTGCCCTTGAGTCTCCTCAGAGGAGTCCCAGTGTGCTAGGAACACAGTATAGAAAAACATGGCACCCTAACCTGGTCTCCACCAGACTGAGTCTAAGTAGTATTTGAGGCCCGATATGAAGAAGGCTGGCTGGTCATTTCCTGAAGTGATCCTGAAGCAAGCTGGTCTGGTGATTCCATCTCCAAAAAAAAAAAAAAATGAGTGAGACTTTGAGACTAGCCACAGTAGACAGTAGCCTGGTCAGATAGTTAAGTGGAGGTCCTTGCAAGGGACAGCTAAGCCCTTAGCTGAGGGTGAGAGGAGAAAAAGACAAACGCTTCGGCAGACGCTCCTTATGAGGCTTTTGCTCTTTGTTTTTGGAGACGGTCTCGCTCTGTTGCTTAGTCTGGAGTACAGTGGCACAATCTCGGCTTACTGCCCTTTGCCTCCTGGGTTCAAGTGATTCTCCTGCCTCAGCGTCCCAAATAGCTGGAATTATAAGCATTTTATTGTTTTTGTATTTTTAGTAGAGACAGGGTTTTGCCATGTTGGCCAGGCTGGTCTCAAACTCCTGGCCTCAAGTGATCCACCCACGTTGGCCTCCCAAAGTGCTGGGATTACAGATGTGAGCCACAGCACCCTTGTTTGTTTATTTTTGAGACAAGGTCTCACTCTGTTGCCTGAGCTGGAGTGCAGTGGCACAATCACCGCTCACTGCAGCCTCAGCCTCCTGGTGTCAAGCAATCCTCCAACCTTGTCTTCCCAAAGTGCTGGGATTATAGGCATGAGCCACCACGCCCAGCCTGTGGCTTTGACTCTACTGATTTACCTCCCTCTAGTGGCTGCTGGCTCTTAGCAATAATACCTTTCATCACTACTGGGCCTCAAGACCCCCGAATTTTCTGTCTCTGACCTCCTATGTGACAAAGACATGACCCTAACTGCTGCAAAGATATAATAATAAAAGAGTCCCTCCCATCCCACATTGTTAGAGAGGATTTTTAACTGATTTAGCCAACATCCCCAAAGACTGTTGGTAAGCAGATGGATGACAGCAGGGAGGAAGGTCTCCAGCGGTTCCAGTATGCATTTTATTTATTTATTTATTTATTTATTTTTTTTTTTTTTGAGACAGAGTTTCACTCTTGTTACCCAGGCTGGAGTGCAATGGCGCGATCTCGGCTCACCGCAACCTCCGCCTCCTGGGTTCAGGCAATTCTCCTGCCTCAGCCTCCTGAGTAGCTGGGATTACAGGCACACGCCACCATGCCCAGCTAATTTTTGTATTTTTAGTAGAGACGGGGTTTCACCATGTTGACCACGATGGTCTCAATCTCTTGACCTTGTGATCCACCCGCCTCGGCCTCCCAAAGTGCTGGGATTACAGGCTTGAGCCACTGCGCCCGGCCTCCAGTATGCATTTTAAACAGCTGTTACCATGAAGGCATAGGAGACGTATTTGTCACATTCATGACGGACGCAAAGCTGAAAGGGAGGCCAGCAGCAGGTAACTGGTCTGTTGAATGGTAGCGTCAAGACTTGCAAAAGCTTCTGTAGGCTATAAAAACAGACATCTACTAAAAGATGTTAGTAAGAATTTGTAAAATTATCCTGAAGTTTAAAAATGACTGCACATTAAAAGAAACATGACTTAATTGAAGTTTTAAAAATAGTTTTACAGGTTTCAGTTGATGTAAAAGATAACTTGAGTTCATTGTGTGACATATCCACCCACACTGCAAGCTTAGATGGGATCAGTAAAGCCCCAATGACCCAAACGGGTGGGGAGGGGCCCACTCTACTCTATGTGGGTCAGTCCAAACCTGAAATATCTTGCTCCATCCTGAATACAAACTCCAGAACAAACAACCCGATAATTCAAGTTTTGACCTGGAGGAAAGTAGCTAGAAGAGTAAGGGGACATGAGAAGTTGTTCAAATAATGTTTGAAGGACTCAAAATAGCCAGGAAAAGAAAAAAAAATTTTAGGAAGAATATGATAGCCATCTTCTTAAAGATTTTTGTATAAAATCCGTGTTTCGTACAATGTATTCATTGTTGACTTTAGAATGTCAGAGCAACAGTACTGGATGCTTGTTACAGTGATTTATAGTTCCCCTAATGTACAAAAAAAATTTTGAAGCACTAGAGTGATACAAAAATGAAGTGAGTTGTATCTACGTGTCCAGGTGAGCTAATGAGCTCCCCGTGACTGGAAGCATTCAGCAGTGGCTGGATGACAGCTGTGACAGGTGATCCAGCATCAGGGATGTTGTAAAGGGAATTCTCAGGTTTAGGATGTGACTTATGATGCTTCCCAGCACTGAGACTCTATTTCTCTGTGATTCATTCATCTTAGCCTCTCATTCCTTTTCTGCTTTATCCTCCTCCCCACCTATTCTTGTATTTCCGCTCCCTCTGATGCTCAGTTTGTGAGGAGAAAGTAGAAATGCACTGCAGTGTTTCAAATAGAGGCCCATCAGGGACTGTGGTCTTCCATGTGTAATATGGGGACAGTGATGCTCAGCCCTCCTGTGTCTTGAGCCGGGAACTTCAGAGGCAAAGTAAACACCTTCAGTGCAGCACATTAAAACAGCACTTAGCAAAGAAAACAAACAAACAAGAACACTACAAGGAAGCCACTGTAATTACATCATTTTCTCTTGTGTTTTCTTTTCAGGGAAAGTCCTGGTCAGCAGCGAAATGGGCATCAGCCGGTCAGCAGTGCTGGTGGTCGCCTACCTGATGATCTTCCACAACATGGCCATCCTGGAGGCTTTGATGACCGTGCGCAAGAAGCGGGCCATCTACCCTAACGACGGCTTCCTGAAGCAGCTGCGGGAGCTCAACGAGCAGCTGATGGAGGAAAGAGAAGAGGACTATGGGCGGGAGGGGGAATCAGCTGACGCCGAGGAGGGCGAGGGCACGGGGAGCACGCTCGGGGCCAGAGTGCATGCCCTGACGGTGGAGGAGGAGGACGACAGCGCCAGCCACCTGAGTGGCTCCTCCCTGGGGAAGGCCAGCCAGGCCTCCAAGCCCCTCACCCTCATTGACGAGGAGGAGGAGGAGAAACTGTACAAGGAGTGGAAGAAAGGGCAGGGCCTCCCCTCGGGCAAGGTCCCCCAGGGTGGAGGTGGCAGACGCTCAGCCTCCTCTGGCCAGAGTGGGGAGGAGCTCCAGGACGAGGACCAGGACGAGGACGTGGAGAGGATCATCCAGGAGTGGCAGAGCCGAAACGAGAGGTACCAAGCAGAAGGGCACCGGAGGTGGGGAAGGGAGGAGGAAGAGGAGGAGGAGAGCGATGCGGGCTCCTTGGTGGGGAGGCGGCGGCGCACCCTGAGCGAGAGCAGCGCCTGGGAGAGCGTGAGCAGCCACGACATCTGGGTCTTGAAGCAGCAGCTGGAGCGGAGCCGCCAGAACCGAGGCGGGAGGCGCCGCACAGACTCGGTGTCCTCGGAGAGCACCTGGGACACGTGGAACGAGAGGCTGCTGGAGATCGAGAAGGAGGCTTCCCGGAGGTACCACGCCAAGAGCAAGAGAGAGGAGGCGGCGGACCTGAGCTCAGAGGCGGGGAGCAGGGTGCGGGAGGACGACGAGGAGAGCGTGGGCTCTGAGGCCAGCTCCTTCTACAATTTCTGCAGCAGGAACAAGGACAAGCTCACTGCTCTGGAAAGATGGAAGATCAAGAGAATCCAATTTGGATTTCACAAGAAAGACTTGGAAGCGGGAGACAGCAGCAGTGAGCCCGGTGCAGAGGAGGCAGCGAGGGAGAAGAAGAACCCCTCCGACATCAGCCTGACAGCCTACCAGGCCTGGAAGCTGAAACACCAGAAGAAAGTGGGCAGTGAGAACAGGGAGGAGGTGGTGGAGCTCAGCAAGGGGGAGGACTCGGCCTTGGCTAAGAAGAGGCAACGGAGGCTGGAGCTACTGGAGAGAAGCCGGCAGACGCTGGAGGAGAGCCAGTCTATGGCAGGCTGGGAGGCAGACAGCTCCGCGGCCAGCGGGAGTATTCCCCTGTCTGCTTTCTGGTCTGCAGCCCCTTCGGTCAGTGCTGATGGGGACACAGCGTCGGTACTCAGCACCCAGAGCCACCGCTCCCACCTGTCTCAGGCTGCAAGCAATATAGTAGGGTGCTCAACCTCCAATCCAACCACACCCCTGCCTAACCTGCCAGTGGGGCCTGGAGACACCATTTCCATTGCCAGTATCCAGAACTGGATTGCCAATGTAGTCAGTGAGACCCTTGCTCAGAAGCAAAATGAAATGCTGCTGTTGTCCCGATCGCCGTCTGTTGCAAGCATGAATGCAGCACCAGCGGCCAGCTGCCCCGGGGATGACCAAGTCTCTATGCTCAGTGGACAGAGCAGTTCCTCCTTGGGCGGCTGCCTGCTGCCTCAGAGCCGGGCAAGACCCAGCTCTGACATGCAGTCTGTGCTGTCCTGCAACACCACACTGAGCTCACCGGCCGAAGGTTCCAGGAGCAAAGTGAGGGGGACCAGCAAGCCCATCTACAGCCTCTTTGCTGACAATGTGGACCTAAAACGACTTGGCCAGAAGGAGAAGGAGATGCAGATGGAGCTTAGGGAGAAGATGTCTGGGTACAAAATGGAAAAGCTGGCCTCAGACAATAAACGCAGCTCCCTCTTCAAGAAGAAGAAGGTCAAGGAAGATGAGGATGATGACAGGGATGAGGGTGACAGGGATGAGGACACTGACAGTGCCATAGGGAGCTTCCGATATTCTTCCCGCAGTAATTCCCAGAAACCCGAAACAGACACATCGTCCTCACTGGCTGTCTGTGATCACTATGCAAGTGGCAGCGGAGTTGGCAAAGAGGTGGATAGCAGTATTAATAAGTGGCTCAGTGGCCTCACGACAGAGGAAAAGCCTCCTTTCCAAAGTGACTGGTCTGGAAGTTCTAGGGGGAAGTATACCAGATCATCCCTGCTCAGGGAGACGGAGTCTAAATCCTCCAGTTACAAGTTCTCCAAATCCCAGTCAGAGGAACAGGACACCTCCTCCTACCACGAGGCAAATGGCAACTCTGTAAGAAGCACTTCGAGGTTCTCATCTTCCTCCACCAGGGAGGGCAGAGAGATGCACAAGTTCTCCAGGTCCACGTACAGCGAGACCTCAAGTTCCCGAGAGGAGAGCCCAGAGCCCTACTTCTTCCGCCGGACCCCAGAGCCATCAGAAAGGGAAGAGTCCCCGGAGCCACAGCACCCAAACTGGGCCAGGTCCAGGGACTGGGAAGATGTGGAAGAGTCATCCAAGTCAGACTTCTCTGAATTTGGAGCCAAGAGGAAATTCACACAGAGCTTTATGAGGTCTGAAGAGGAGGGAGAGAAAGAGAGGATGGAAAACAGAGAAGAAGGGAGGTTTGCATCTGGACGGCGGTTCCAGTATCGGAGAAGCACTGACAGGGAGGAAGAGGAAGAAATGGATGACGAAGCCATCATTGCTGCTTGGAGACGCCGGCAAGAAGAAACCAGGACCAAGCTGCAGAGAAGGAGGGAGGACTGAGCTGGGGAAAAGCTGAGAACACTGAAAGAAACCACTCAGCTTAGCATAGGGCTCAGGGCATACATTGCCACCACCCGTCAAGACATGAGGATGCAGAGAGGATCTTCCGAAGGGGCAGAGCCAAAATGAGAGGTACCAAGCGTCAGGGTGGCAGAGGTAGAGTAAGGAAGAGGCAAGGACAGGGGGAACCATCCATATGAGGTGTGATCGCTGGACTGACACCATTTTCTCTTGCCTCTAAGCTTTGGTGTTTCACTTAATGTAATTGATAGTGTTCATCACAGACTAGAGAGGTAAGCTTGGAAAAGCATTGTAGTTTGTCAGAGACTCCAGTTTCCATCCAGAAAGTCCGTGAACATAGAACACGGTTTTGTCTGTAGAGGTTTTATAATGAGACCCAGCAAGTCTATCATGTGGCAAGTCTGACCTCTCCTGGGAACGCTCAATTCTGAAAATTTAAAAAATGTTGAGTCTCCATTAAAATGGTATGTTGGCAAATAGTTCTTCTTTATTCTGGTCATGTTTAGATCTTTGGATATTAGAAGAAAACCACTTTAAAAGACACAAATGTGTTATCTGAGCCAGTCTCACCTTGTTTCACAAAAGCTGTGCCTCTAGACAATGCCATCATCGCCTCATTATAAAAAAGAACAAGCAAGTATTTCGCCTATGATACAATACAGCAGGAGACCACACTAGGAAAACCCTTGAGAGTAACAGAGCGAACCAGAGAAGGAGAGAATGAGTTTTATTGTGGTGAGAATGTCAAGATGTAAAGTAGAGAGAAGGCCTCTCTGAAAGGCAGAAAAACAAAAACAAAGCATGGGGAGAGAAGAAAATAAACCCAGTAGAAGGAGATGGAGACATGTTTTCATAAAATCTAGGGTCATCTTTGCTTCTTATTCCTAGGAGGATCATTGGGTAATGCAGTGGGTAGTACACTTGATTTTTCCCTGCAGTCTAAGTGGGCTAAGTCGGTGAGAATCTTTTATGTTTCGTTCCCAAGGCATTCCTTCCCCTAAAACACAGGTTGAGTTGCCAAATCAAGGAGACACTTTGAGCACTTTACAGCAATGATTGATGAACTGGTTTCAACAGTTCCTTTCAAGCTGCAGCACCTTGAAGGATTTGAAAACAACTATGTGCTGTACAGGGGTCTGAGATGTCTTAATCAATCAAAAAATCCAATTCAGGAGACACAACTGGTGATGAAATGATTAATGAGAGGGAAGAAGAGTAAGGAGTAATCCACCAATGAGACAAATAGTAAGTGATAATTATGTGATCACTTTTTCTAAAAACGGAGTTTCATGGGACACGGAGATTATGTAACCTTCCTATGTAGGTTTGTTCGGCATCACATATTTCAAAGAGCACAGAGATAAATATATCAAGGCAAACAGGAGCTGACTTGAACACAAGCTCAGAATGCCACATAGCTGCTGTCAAAGCAACTGAATTAACTTTCTTGCCTTCCCTCTATCGCTTTGGCCCACAGTTCAGTTGCTCGTGGTACTCATCGCTCCTTCACTGACTGAGGTGGGGAAAGAGGACTTGCGGAGGAACAATACTGCTCAGTCTCTGTCCCATTTGCCCCTTTTTCTTCCTTGGTTCATCTTTAATCAGTCTCATCCCCTAGTTTCCAGTACCCAGTGGGTCATTCCTACCGCAGAAAAAGGTCTTATTAGCCAGGCAGGGTGCCGTGTGCTTATAGCCCCAGCTACTTGGGAGGCTGAGAGAGGAGGATCACTTGAGCCCAGGAGTCTGAGTCCAGCCCAGGCAACATAGCAAGACCCTATCTTTTTTTTTTTTTTAAGTGTTGTTCTAATATATCCCACAGCAAGAAGGCCGACTGTGGTCTATTTTACCTTCTGGGAGAGCTCTCATTTCACTCCCATAGAGAAGTTTTTGGTATAGGCACAATTAATTGGGTGTCTACTCTAGGAGGTTGACCTTCTGGAGAGAAGAATGGGAATATTCTTTGGTGGGTCCCCTGTGCCCACCCGTAAGGACCCAATTAGCTCTGATCTCTCTATATATGTCTTTTTGTTTTTTTACTATGACAAAATATATAAATTGATCTCACTCATGTCAAAATAGACAAGCAATTTAAAAAAAAAAACAACCTATTCTTAGTCAATCTCAACTCATACTCCACCTAATAATGTTGAACAAACACTTCAATCATATTGGTGTGAAGAGTCACCCCAATTTTTCTCCAGCCCTGGATGTGAGTTTGGAGGAAACAGACCATAGAGACCCCCTAGTTTGCTTTTAGTTGAGCTCTGTCTTAGGCTAGAGGAGCAATAAAGGCCCCCGTGGCCCACAAGTAGACCAGCTGGGCTCACCAGAGAAAGCCAGATGGCTCAGAGTGAAGCCCTCAAGAAATGCCTTTGCTTTCTGCGTCTCCAGAGATAGCTGCCTCTAGATCCTGTACCCAAGGAGGTGTCTGCCAGATAATTAAAATTCTGAATTCAACCTATTCCTGGAGTTTAGAGTATATTTTAGGAAACCACATCAGAGAAAATGTGTTGGATTTATCATGAACTTGAAGAAATATCTGGAATTTGAAGTGTTAGAATCCCAAGGGTGACTTCTGAATGCTACCTAACCTAGTGTGTTAGGTTGCAGGCCAGCCTTCCAGTCTCTGAATGACAATTAAAGATATCTCAGTAAAAGTCCTCACAGGAAACAGATGGCACACTCAAAGTGGTGACTGATAAGAATTTAATGCAGGGACCATTGACAGAGGCATAGGAGGGGTCAAGGGAGCCAAAATGAAGTAGTAAAGCACCCATGTACTAGCAATATTGATGCCATCCTAGCACCGAAGGGACAAAGCGGCAAAGCTGTTTCCAGAGGCCAGCAAGAACCATCACCATGGAGAAAGCCACCTGACAACCTGGCAGAGGAGTCAGAATAAATGCCCCAGCCCTTCTCTGCTCCTGGTTTTCTGTTTAATGCTAGTAACTTCTATGGACCAAATCTAACTGGAAGCAAGTGGGTAGGAGAGCCTACTAGTCTGGAGCAAGACAAAAAGTAGGTCTGGAGGCAAACAGAAAACCACCAGCACAGAGGTCAATATGTTTAAATGGAGAGGCCATCTCCATAGGAGTCTTTCCATTGATGTTTGTCTTAAATGACCAAAAACACCATACAATGAACACAAAATTGACTCTATCTTAAGAATTTAGTAACAGGCTGGGCACAGTGGCTCACACCTGTAATCCCAGCACTTTGGGAGGCCGAGGTGGGCGGATCACTTGAGGTTGGAAGTTCGGGACAGGCCTGACCAACATGTTGAAACCCAGTATCTACTAAAAATACAAAATTAGCTAGATGTGGTGACGCATGCCTGTAATCCCAGCTACTCAGGAGGCTGAGGCAGGAGGATCGCTTGAATCCAGGAAGCAGAGGTCATGGTGAGCAGAGATTGTACCATTGCACTCCAGTGTAGGCAAAAAAAAAAAAAAAAAAAAAAAAAAAAAAAAAAAAAAAAATTCATTCACAATTCAAATAGAGTTTCAGCTACATGAAACCAACTATCAGAGTCAGTGGTTTTGTTTTACACAAAGAAAAAAGAGGAAACTGATCTGAATTACTCCTGAGCCCACTCCTGAGTCATAGAAACAGTTCACTGGGAGAAAACTCCCACATTACTCAGTGCAGAGAATCGTGCGCTGAAAGAGGCCCTACAAGATGAAAATCCTGCTGGGACTTCTGAGGTCAGGACTGGGTAAGAGAGAGGGGAAACAGATGTTTTTCTTCACCCACAGGTAAGCCCCTGGAGAAAATGAGATACGTGGGGGCTGTGAAGAAATAAGAAAAAAGGTGTATCAGGCAGCATCCCAGCAGGAAACGGAAGGCACACCCAAATAAGGGTGATTCAAAGGGAGGGTTTTCTAAAGGAGCTAGTTACAAAGGAGTGGACAGGGTACAGGGAAACCACCAGGCATAGTGCACACTCCAGGGCCAGCGGTTATGCTCCTAGGCCTGGAGAGACCCGGAATGAGCTATTACTGGGCCTCTAGAGACACGAGGGCTAATTGAGGGGGCAGTCTTAAGAGCTGAGACCTTGGGTCTAGGGAGCCAGCCTGACGTGACCCCACAGGGAAGGAGCCAGAGGACTTTAGCCCCTCTGACTCCAAACTCCAGCCACCTCCCTACAGGTCAAACCCAACTAAAACCCATAAGGAAGTGAGCTGGTGCGTGCATTCCATTCAGCCAGCCCCATGGAGCTCTAGGGAGGGTGGGGAGAAGGGTGGATGTAGACCCAGAAGGACAAACAGAAGATACACAAGGGCAAAATTTCAGACTGAATTGACATGTTGGTGCTGGGTTATGAAGACCCTGCTTTTAGTGTCTGGAATATTGACAGAAGAGGAAATATGAATTTTTCTGGACTCCTAAAACTTATTTCTTATATTGTTTGGGAGAATTATCAACCAATGACAATTGAATAACTAGTAAGCTGCCTTAAAGCATGCTACATAGAGTTGCCTTGTGTGAAGAATCTTCAATACAAATCTATACCTGTTCTTAGGAACATCTACTCTTTGGAGTTCTGAGTCAAGGCTCGTGCTTTAAAGCATCATCTATTTTGTGAACCCTGCAACAAGTCTTCCCTCAGCTCCACTTGTTCTGCGAGATGCCTGCCATCTGTCCCAGGTGCCAAACAGAAACCACCAGCCCCCCACCCTCCCATACACAACACACACAAGTGAATTTCATGTAAAACCTATATTTTAAGTCACATCGTCCCCCAAAATACCTGCCAGATGTAGCGTGAACTCATCCAGCCATTTTGCCTCATAGAGGTAATTAACAACATTCTACCATTTTAATCTCATGGTTTCAAACACTCCAGCAGTCATTTTCAGACACTGGGATCCTTGTAGCATCTGTAAGCAAGGTGTGCATACAGATCAGCTGATGCAGTAGCCGGGCCACCCCACTGCCCGCCATTCAGTTGCCTGGACCCTGAGTGGAAGTCCCTCAGAGCAGGGAGCAGACCAGCTTGGATTAGCTTCATCTGTCTCTAGGCTCCTGAAGGCAGAAGTTGGATTCACCTTTGCTGGCAACCAAGACAGTGGCCTCAAACCAATCATTCGATTCCATTTAGCTCAGCTTGATAAACGCTTCTTGAATGCCGACCCTGCACAAGCACTGCACCAGAATACCGTGCTATCAAGAGAACATGCTACATGGAGTCATGGAAGGTAGAGATGATCTCAAGTAAGACAAAGGCCCAGTCCCTCATGAGAAAGGATTTTTGAAAAGTTGTCTGAGTTAAAGAACTCTCAAGCTATCTGGGTCTGAACTTAGCAGTGTGCCAAGTATATCAGAAGAGCATCAACCATTCACTCTTGAAATCTCACAGTCAGCTTTGACACCTCCCTTTGCCTCTTCCCTGCACCTGGGGCAGGTAATTCTGCCCATAGCATTTGCTCTCTTCATGCGTTATCACTACCACCTCCCCAAACCAGATCGCCTTGACCTACCACCTGGCTCCTGCCGGTTCCAGCCTCACCTCCTTTCCATCTACTCTAGGACCAAATTAATTTCCCAAAATCCAATTCTGGCTCTTCTCCCTCTACCTAAGAACTCTAACCGTTTCCTGTTACCTATGAAGTGAATCTTAAATGTTTCCCCTTGGCATTCAAGGACCACTTTCCCTCCCTTTCCAGCCCTACAGCATTACTCCCTTCGTGCCTCATCTTCCGGCCATACGTGAACAGTACACCATTTGGAACACGCTTCGGTGCCCTTGCTCAGGCTTTTCCCTCTGCCTCAGCTTTTCCACCCCAACCTGCTTGCTCCCTGCTGAGATCCCCCCGCCCTCCAA